CATGAACTTTGTGTTGCACACTGGACAGCAGTTCAGACAGAATTCATTTTGAGTGCAAATTTCATTTTATGCAGCGTAAACAATTTCTTGAATCTAAACAGTGTAATTCTTGATCTCGTCTATATTACTTGGGGGCTGTTATTACGGCCAAAAGAAAGAGCACATTGTCTGCAAATAAGAGATCTCAACTGCTGAAATGCTTTTTGTGCAAGCATGGAATATATCTACTTTGGGAGCTGTGGCTGAATTTTTTGAGCCATGGTTTTATGGATTTGCCAGCCGTGATTCCATTTCTTCGAGCCGTGAATTCCATATCTTGGCCATGAAAAGCCATTTATGAGGCACAAATTTATTTGTAGAGTCCATGCACATGTTACTCCATATCTCTAATTTTAACCTAAAACAGTCAAACAGCAACAATAACATTTGTCTTTACTGTAAGCTGAACATGTGTTAATGTAGTCTGACCATCTGACGTGACTGCAACTATGCATGATCAACAAAATGTTTAGGTTGATTTTTATTCATTAAGATGATTATGTTCAGCAGGATATTTTGGCAGGAATGGTAAAGTAATGCGGATTGCATAAGTGGAAAATTTTATGAAATGGCAAGTTTGCAAAGTCTGCAATTATTTCAATTGAACAAAAATTTATGAAATTCAAGCTGCAAGATTTCAAACCTTCTGACATTATATGATATTAGAGCCACAATATAACAGAAAAAATAGGACTATTCCAGCCCTGCTTTTGTGGAGTCCACTGCCAGACACTGTAATATTAAAAGCAAACGACTACGTCACTGACTTGCAAGAAATGAAGAGAAAGGCCTTAATATATTCCGTCGACTTCATCAACTCAATATCGTTCCCTTTTGACAAAGGCCTTCGGTACACAGAAGTCCTATATTCTCAGCAATGTCCCTAGGCACAGTATTACAGAGCTTGCGGTATCATACCATCAACCGGGGCTACTCGGGACGGTTTTGAGCGTTTTTTGTTAATAACTTCTTATGATGAAACATTTCATAAACAAGTTTAGGCTCATTTTATAGCTCTTTGCGAGGGCTATCAAATGGCATCTTCAAAAAAATTCCATATGCTATTCGTAAGGTGCCAGAAGCAAAAAAAGAGTGTCCCGATAGCTAGTAAATGTCGTATTTTTCGACTGCCTTTATACTACATAGATAGGAAAAATGTTGACGTTTACGCCACTATATTTAGTTTTGCAATATTCCAATTAGTTTCGCTACTATAACAGTTTTACGCCGTGTCGGAGGTGCGTCCCGAGTTGCCCCGCCAGTCCTGAGTTGCCCCGGTTGACGGTCCTGTCAATTTTGTTGGGGTCTTTTACTCTTCATCCCACCTTTGAGGTTAGTTTAGGAATGCATAGATGACTTATGTAGGATTGGTTAGTAGTACATGCAGAAAAGGTCTCTTGTATGAGTTTTTAATAAGTCTTGCTCAAATGGCCTCTTTCAAGAGCAGTTAGTGAGTCTGTCATGAATGGTCTCTCTCAAGAGTAGTTTGTATATGTCTCATGCAAACAACCTCTCCCAAGAGTGGTTAGCACTCACAAATGGCCTCTTGCAATCATGGCTTCTTTAGCTGTTCATCAATGCATTCTATGTGTCTTGAAAAGGGCTCATAAACACTCCATTGTACTGTGAATAGAAGTTGCACTAATTTGTGGTGTTATAATATAAATAATTTACCTTCAAATTTGGTTTTAGTCATTTCAATATTTACCTTCATTTCCACTTCTTGGCGTGACTTGTTCAAGACATAAGGGTAAGGTGGCCCAGTTGATTACAGTCCACAATACTGTGACTGGAGCAGTAAGGTGTGGGTTCGATCCCAACTCCCTGTTCCAGTTCTGGTCAGAGCAGCGAGAAGGCTGGGTGCTTAATCACGGAAAAATTATAGCATTGATTTGCTTGTCCAAAACCGCAACAAACTGTGAAAATTCTGTAATGTTTAACAATAGGTGATAGGTAGAATGTCCTACTGAACACTGAAACTGCTATATATTACTAGTATATAAATTGTCGCAGATGTCAAAGTTGGAATAACTCTGGCAGAACTCTGGTTCTGCCTCTGTCAGATCTAGAGGATTTAGTAATTGATTGAAGAAGAACCTGAGGGGTTTTGGTTCAGCCATAGATGGCTGAACCAAATATGGTTCTCCTTTATAATTGTCCAAATAACATATTAAATATTCATTGGCCAGGGAAGGATGATAACAAGACATGTATCTAAGCATAAGTACGGTATTAAAGATAGGTTCACGGGATACACTAGATAGAAGTTATGGGATCAAAGCACAGTACAGTATGTGCAGTAATTTTGGAGATAGAGTATTACAACACTTGTCGTTTAGAGTTTGCAGGCTTTACAATGACTGCCTCAGACTGCGACTCTTCTAAGACTGACTGGCAGTCGGCTCACCAAGCTTATATACACGGTGACCCGTGAATAGTGACGTCACAGAATGTGATGCAATAGTCACTAATGACATCATGGCCTGACACATACCAATATAGCTCCAGCCATTATGGTAATACTGATATAGATCATGGTAAAATATCGTAATATTTTCTCGATGTATTTGTACATATTTTCAAAATTTTATTCCTGCCATGAAAGGAGAAGGAATACCAATTAAAGAATAATACTATATATGCTTAACAAGGTAATAAATGGTCAATGCAAAATTAATGAACCCTATTTATATTCTCATTGTGATACCACTTGACAATAATGGATATTCTTCACTTGCCGAGGCAAAACAACATTCTGCGAGGACTTGTTGAGGTCCACCACCAAGTCATAGGTCCGTTCACTGAAGTTATGGCATTCATGAACATCTTGCAGTATTCAAAAATAATTAATCAAATTTTCATTTGCTGAAAATCTGAAATGAAAATTTTCATTTCTGAAACTCTGAAAATGAAAATTTTCATTTGCACGATCTAAGCATTTGGCTCCCCAATTTTTGAACGACTCAAGGTCTCTGGAACAAAACATCAACTAACCTGTGTAGCAAGGTCCTTGCTCCCCAAAAATGTGTCTTGGATCTGCAGTCTGTCCACCAGGCATACATTAAGATTTGGGCCATGGTCATAGGAAAACGTCTATTGCCCAAATACTCAATGTAATTACAGAGTGACAGCTCATGCTTTTCTGAAAGTGTGGGCAGTTTGCCTGGTACACAGTCCTCATTGACTCGCAATGCAATGCAATCTGAGAGTCTTGTGAGGCACACGCATGAGCTTGCAAGCAGCACATGAAGTGTGAAGATTCTCCTCTTTGCACACTGCAAGAGCATTTCCCATGTCCTTCTGCCTCCTTAATCTTTGTTTTCTTCCTTTTCTTGAAGTCTTCTTGAATGATACAAAATGTACATACTTGAATGTATTTACATACTTGAACAAGTACCGTATTGATCACACAAAATAATGCGTATAAATATTTATTGTATGATGTGCATTTTATGCTTTCAAGTTTGTTTATTTGCTTGAAATTTTTTGTATTTGCTTTACTCTATTCATTTCTCTATTGAATGGCATCTCCAAAAAAATTTCATGTGCTATTCGTAAGGTGCCAGATGCAAAATAAAAGCTTCCCGAATTACTCCTGGGAATGGGTAATCCGGGACACTTGAAATAAAACTCAATTTTGAGATGTTTTAAGCATGCAAAGTGTACTCATCCATTACTAACAGTACTCTGAAGTCCTCCTCATTCCTTGTAGACAATGTAGATGTAGAAAAAATGACAATTTCAACAAGTAATTTTTACTTGTTTTTCCTTTATTGATGTGATATTACCATATCCATATATTATCGTATTATTATCCAAAATTACGGTATCCTTGGACATGCCACTCTGCATTCACAACAACCTTGTCCACTGCAAGCTTCATATCAGCAGCCATATAGCATTTCTTCTGTATCTGTAAGCTTACAGGACGGCTTGTAATTTCACACCATTTTAATTAGGTCAAGTGAATCCACTATAACAAAAAAAAAAAAGATTATAAAAACATGCCTGCAACAGAAAGGAATAGTTTAGTGACAACCATCATATTATTTGGAGAAATAAATCATAGTTTAGGTTAATTACTTTCCATACTATGTTGCCTAGTGCACAATTCTGTATATGACATTCTGTGCACAATTTTGTGATGACCAATGATGCATTAATTTTTTGTTCAGTGAAACTTTTTTTGCTGAGCAAGGTAAATGTAATCAAAATTTTTTGTTGTTAATTGATTTTTTGGTTAACTGGAGCCTTTAATAACTGAGGTTCTATTGTAAATGTGCTTTTAGGGGTGTCCCTTATTACCCTGGGGGGAGTGTGTCCCTTATTACCCCGTCCTGTGGAAATGGCCGCCATTTTTTTGAATGAGATAGGCAAATTCCGTCAATCGTTTTAAGCTAACACCTGTGTGCAGCCATCATGTAAGTGAAATTCTTTAATACGGCAAATCATTTTTTTTTGCTACAGACCTTAGCAGAAGTACATTTCTAAAATTGCACTTGTCACACTTTTTTTCAGGGATTTTTTAAAGGTAGTAAATGTATGATTTCCTAACTTGCTTTATGCTACATAGATAGTAAAAAGTTGAACTTAACGCCACTATTTTTAGTTTTGCCAAATTTTGTTTAGTTTAGCTGCTAAAACATTTCTACAAAATGCGGGATGACCATCCCAATTTATCCCACCCGTCTCTTGTTACCAAATTTGATGGCATAAAATGAGCCCACTCTTGTTTATGAAATGTTTCATGGTATGAAGTTATTAACAAAGAACTCTCAAAACCATCCTTTATTATTCCGTTTGACAATATTTGTTTAAAAACAGAAAGAATGTTGTTTACAATTTTCAATTGTCACATTTCATTATGTAGGTAACTTTTATCATTTTCAGATATTTTGAGCATTGCTCACATATGTTATTTTTCCCATATCATAGGGTAGTATGAACCTTGTATAACTGTTTAATATTTTATTTATTGCAGGCTGCCTTGGCTGTTTTCATCTAGAAAGCAATAATGTCTGAAAATAAGCATATGTTAAATATAGCATGTTGCCGTGCCAATACAAGCAACAGCAATGTAGCTGCTAATAACAGCAACAATAGCAGTAGTAGCAGCAGCAGCAATATGGCTGGTGGAAGCAACAGCACTGATTTAGCTAGCCTATTTGAATGTCCAGTTTGTTTTGATTATGTTTTGCCTCCTATCCTGCAATGCCAGAGTGGCCACCTTGTGTGTACGTCATGCAGACCCAAGCTATCCTGCTGCCCAACTTGCAGAGGGCCTCTAGGTGAGTGATGCTCTAAAATACTTACTAGTGTTCATACTCATAATTCAAGTTGAATGACAAAGGATTTATTCATTTCTAATATCTTTGACTAGATTTCTGCAGTTAGATGCATGTTAATATTGATACAGATGATGGAAAAGTGTTGAGCTACTTTTCTCAGATTAACAATGACCGCCTTTTCTCAGATAAACAATGACAGTTTTCATGAAATTTATTTTAAATATTTTTTTTCAGGCAACATACGAAATTTGGCCATGGAGAAAGTTGCATCAACAGTACATTTTCCATGCAAGTATTCCACATCAGGATGTTCAGTAACTCTACTTCACACGAACAAGACTGAACACGAGGACACTTGTGAGTTTAGGCCATATGCTTGCCCCTGTCCTGGTGCTCTGTGCAAGTGGCAGGGTGCCCTGGAGCACGTTATGCCTCACCTCATGAGCGTCCACAAGAACATAACTACTCTACAAGGTAAGCTATTATAATAATAATAACGGTTTCAACGTTTATTAGGCCGTAGGCCTGTCGCCAATTCTTAACATCGCAGAACATTCACAGCATTTTGCGGTCTCGAACTCGCAAGTCGCAACTCACTGCTACAATTGTGCTGTGCTAACTGCCCGGCCTCCTTGCCGATTCTGCAAATCATCGTCATCAGCTCCTGCTAATAGAATGATGATAATTATTGTCATTTAGAAGTACCTACACTATAATTTGTGCAAGACTCGCATCAACTCCTTAAATTTGTTTCAGAATGTGAATGAGAAATTGAGAATGATGAATTTTTCTGTCAATATATTATAAGGCAAAATTTTGTTCTTCTTCATCCTTTCTTTGATTGGTTAATGCTATCCATAGATTGTGGGATTTTGTAAGGGATTTAGTTTATTCTACAAAAAACATAGGCATAAATTAATTGAAAGCTCCGTTTTAATCTAATGATTGATTTTTTTACAGGCGAAGATATCGTATTTTTGGCTACAGACATAAACCTGCCAGGGGCAGTGGATTGGGTGATGATGCAAAGCTGCTTCGGCCATCATTTTATGCTCGTGCTTGAAAAGCAGGAAAAATTTGACAGCTACCAGCAGTTCTTTGCTATTGTTCAGCTCATTGGATCTAGGAAGCAAGCAGAAAATTTTGCTTACCGGTAAATTTTGTTTGTCTTTGTAAATTTTTGAGTTAATTTCAATGATATGTAATCAAATTGTCATTGCAAATATAATTGATTATAAAAATTTATACGGTACTCGTGCAAGCCAAAGCTACAAAAAACGTTGCTTTTCTCTGCAGCACATGACGAGTTAATTGATTAAAATTTATAATTTTGTGAGCCGGAGCTACAAAAAACTCTTTTCTCTGCAGCACATGAGGAGTTTAGTTCAAAATTAAGTTATAAATGTGTTGTTATCACCAGGCTAGAGCTGAGTGGGCCTAGCAAGCGCCTGATCTGGGAAGCCACCCCCCGCAGCATCTATGAGGGCGTCCAGACCGCCATCCTTAACTCGGACTGCCTGGTTTTCAACACAGCAACGGCGCAGCTCTTTGCTGACTCCGGCAACCTCGGAATAAATGTCACGATTTCTATGGCTTAAGTCGCCGTTCAACCAAAAATCAGAAAATGGTTCAGCCTCTTGTTCATATGTGAATACAATATATACGAATCTATATATGTTTGTGTCTTAGTTCATAAAATATCGTATCTTCTCTGTAAGATTGCTCACCTTAGTCTCGTAATCGTGACATGGATCTTTCTATTTGTGCTCACCATAGTCCATGATTTTTTGGTTCATGATGTAAAACCCGCAGTACCTTAAGCTGTTCCTAGAGCTCCGGGATCATCTATTTGCAGCCTATGAGGTTTATGGACGTAAATATCTTCCTGAGACTACAGGAATTTTAAATTTATTGTTACAACTTTTTGCTTTCATGAAAACGATTGCCTCCGTATTCTTTAATGTTGGTTTGTTTTATACGATGCGAGTGTTGAACAAATTTGAAGTGCGGGGACATTTTCTTTATATCTGAGTTGAATGCCTGATTCAGTTGTACGTGTTTGATAAGCTTTCAGCCACTCTCAATGCGAGCTACGGATCTGCATCATGGAAAAGTGCAGTAAGGATCTTGTGTACAGACTACAGTCATATCCGGAATTTCCTTTGAGCTTCTTGCTGGTACTGCAATGAGCAGCGTGATATCACGGAGTTATGTTGTTATAGATATGCAAATGCGGTAACTAATCCTTGACTTATCTATGATTTTTTCCAAAATAAATCCGTTTTTGCATTTCTTTTCTTTTTGCTTGCAACTATCTTCCTCTTGAGGGGCAGGTCCTATTATTGATTAGATTGCTCTACCTTTTTTTAGCTTTAATGAGCTAAGCATGTAAAGGTCAATGAAACTGTTTGCTTGGTCTGCAGTTGATCGGGGTCTATAGAAATGAACATTTCTATTATATCATTTTTCATTTTGTATAATGTAAGGGGGCGGACACGCGCGTCACTTTCTGTAGTCAGTATCATAAGTTCATTCGAGTGTGTTGCTCATATTTTATGCATAGATCTGGAGACTGGCCACTGACGAAACATTGAACTTTTTCATCGTTTACCATCTTTACGGAGGACAGTAACGACACAATGTACACCATTTTGTTTTGTACAAGTGCTGGGTTAGATTCATGTTTTCCTTGTTCTCGATGAAGTGCCTCGTTGCGTCGGACATATAAGCCGAAGCTTTGGGTCGATCTCTGACACGCTTCACTTCAATGCTGTTCCGGTGCACTCAAGGCTGAGGCTTGTCGTCGGGGTTGTTAAACATTATCAAATATCACAATTGATAGTCCAGAATACTTACCCTGTGTATTAATGCGATTACTCAATCTGTGTCGTTTCCACATTATTTTATTTGGCTTAGGTAAAGACATTTCCCTAACTAGAAATTTTGATTCTGAATTGACAATTTCGTAACAGATTTGGAAACATTGTAACCAAATAAGCGGGAGTCTTTAGAAATATCCTGTCTTTTTTACATCGTATTTTAGGTTTCTGTACAGCTATTATTAAGTCGAACTTAGTTTTGTTTTGTTAGTTGAATTCTAAATCTTCCATAACTCTAATGACAGTGAGTTACTCTTTTCTATTTCATTGCAACTATATATTTATTTCTTTAGATTCTCATGGAGAATTTCCCAGTGTCATGGCAGAATTTCTAGCCAATAGAACGCTTCTCAGATTAAATCTCCCGAATCTCAGATTAAATTAATTGTTCCGAAAAAACAGCGTCTGATGCCACTCGTGCCACATGTTACGGTAGAAGAAACGTGCTCATGGCACAGCAGTTGTGCACACCTAGCAGGTGAAGGCTACGGCTCCTTTACCTTCACACGAGCTTTCTCTTCTTGCGTGTGCATCATCTCGGCTTCAAGTTAACCATGACGGCGTGGTGAGGGTCTACTTTATTATGTGCGTTGGCTTCTTACTTCAACTTTCCTGCTGCAATTCTGTAGTCGTTCTGTTGGCAAGCATCACTCCAGCGCTTCCCTGAAATGCGTTCACTGACGATTTCGGTTTGATGTGTGGAGCAGGGAACGATATTTCCAACCTCACGATGTAACTTTAAGCTGCCAGGATCGTGAATGAGATTGGTAAAAGTTTGTTCCATAAAATATTCTGACATTTTACCGGCAGTTTAATTTCCTTTCACATAGATCATATTTCGACGAAGAGAATATCCGTCTAAGTTATCACTTCCATGCACCTAACAACCGACGGCCATTAAATGTTCCACTAAAAAAATTCTTCAATTGTGAAATGAGTTAGATGAATCGAATATGTGCAAGATAGAACCATCCGATAGGTCAGCACCCTGAAATATGGTCCCTTTCTCAGTAGTTGATCTAGGTAAATAATTATATATCACACAGAGATCAACCTTCATAAAAACTCGCCCCAGTTTCATGAGGTAAAACTATTGGTGATAAATGTGCGACTGATTGTTCGATGAATCGTCTTTCAACGTAAGAAAATTAGTTTTTTCGAAAGGTCAAGTAAATAAGAGTGGGATACTGTTTTATGATTACACATAACGATAATAGAATTCGACAAACAACTTCGAGATGTATAAAGATTACAGCATAAATCTATTTGTTCTACACAGAAATGTAACCAAAAGATCCTAATTGTTAAAGTAATAATAAGTGGGAATGTTTAAGTGGAGTCGCGCGTCAAAAAATCGGAGACTTTCATGAACAAAAGTCGAACGTTACTAAGCGCGCCACTGCTACTGATACAAATTGAAAAATACACAAGAGGACCGAAATAAATATTAAGAATACAAATATACTTCCTGCTATCACAAGTCAAATCAGCTTGACTACGCCACACTTTACCTAAACTTTGGAGAAACTTAGAATTCGATAGCAAATATTTCCACAGTAGGCAAGGAGGGCGTGTAGGCTTCAAGGAGTTTCTTCAAATTAACTTTGGTGTATGAAATTTTCCAAGATTTGTCGACAGGACTCGCGACTAGACCGAACTCCTGCTCAAAAATGCCGACAAAAGAATCGTTGTAGTGTATTGTGCCGCAGCAGAAAAGCTGGATCATACCATGAGAACTTCGTCTTACTTGCATACCTCCTTTTGTGTTAGGCATGAACATAAGTCCAAGTCTTTTTAGTAACTCCCTTATAGTCCTTTCAGTCTCAACGCTACCACTGGCGCGACATTGTTCTACATTACCACCGTCGACGAGGTACATTTCTACCGAGCAGTTCCCGCAAAAAACCTCTGGTCTCAGAGTGTCGCCAGGCTGGTTTGCACAGCAAGGCTGTAGCCTGTTAATCATTGTGTAAAACCACTCACAAAAATCCTGACCGAATTCGTCAGACATAACACTTGCTGTACTTTCGTTATTGTTATCTTGAACGTTTAATCGTCTTGATGAACATGCCACTGAAGAAGATGGCCCCGAAGATGGCAGTTTTGAGTCCTGTCTAGTTTGGCAATTAGTAGAATCTTGGCAAGGTTCCTTCTTGACTGAAGTTTTCTGAAAGAAATCTGGCTCTTCTTTTATTTTTACTTTAGGTTCGAAGACGTCTTCTTGCTTGACGTTGGCCATTGAATAGAGAGTAGGTTCATCATGAGGGGCCACGTTGGGTTTTTTCTCATCGGCATCACGATTTTTCTGCAGCGTTTCCTCCTGGAATATCGAAAACAAAGGCATGAGAATAATTAAGATCAATTGATTGCTTGAATCTCAAATAAACTGTAAATTAAAAAGCAACTAAAATGCTAATAAAAATGCTTTGCCTTAAAAATACAACATTTTTATCAATCTTATGCCTGATAAAAATCTCGCAAAAACAACCAACATCGCGCTATGAATAGCATAAACAGAACACATCAAAACGGATGAAACGGATGACTTCTTATCTCGCTGCACCATGGAAAATAGTGAATGCAGTTAAATCTTCACAACACGGGACGTCAATTTCAAGAACGTGTTCAACGAAATTCTGTTGCGGTATTGGAATAAGACAGAAGACGGCGCAAGACACATCGTATTTAGAGCGAGTCATGAGAAGGTCATTCTTTACGAGTCTCCAAGAACAGCACTCAACTCATTGCTAAGGGAGAACTCGTCGGCAAAAGCGATACATTCATAAAAATAAGTGGTTCGTACTGTAAATAGTGACACACTCTTACCCGCAGCATGAGCAGAGATCAGATGTAGCACTGATACGCCATTTTGCTGGGTCAAACTGAGTCAGGATGACTCACACAAGAGCAAAAACTGCGCAGTTATTTGGACAACGACCCTCTCATTGACACGAGTGTAGAAACTAAACATTATGTTACCACCAACACGAGCTGAAGATGTCGTGGATCACATCCAGCCTAATAATAATTATAATATAGCGGTTTCAGCGTTTATTAGGCCGGAGACCTGTCGCCGATTCTTAACATCGCAGAATATCTACAGCTTGTAGAAGGCTTGAACTCGCAACTTACTGCTTCAATTTTGTTTTACGTAACCATCGAGTCCGGCCTCCTCGCCGATTCTGACCAGAAACTGGCGCACAGAGCTGGGATCGAACCCGCGCCTCTCTGCGTCAATCCTGGTACTCTGAACTGTAACCACTGGGCCACTGGGCCTTGCAAGACTCAAGTCACTGATTGTGACATTTAAATTCGGTATTTTCTATATATTTTTCGACGAGAGTAATGTAAATTTCCGTATTTCAGTGTCCAGCTTTAGCTGCCTAAATAATAAGAGCCTTTAAAGATAAAAGTAAATCTTTGAAGAATTATCTAGTAGGTGAAGACAGAGATGCTTCACTGCATTACCCAGTACTTGAAGACAGAGATGCTTCACTGCATTACCCAGTACTTGAAGACAGAGATNTGGCCGGCCACATGGACGCCCTCGCGTATGAGGTACTGCAGCAGGAAGGAGCTCGACAGCTTGCGGTGGCTCAGCAGCTTGGGCACGTCAGCGCACGAGAGCAGGATTGCCGTGCACGCCTCTGATGTGGGGCGTGTTCAGGATAAGCGTCATTTAACAGATCATATTGAGGTTAAACATCGTTTAAAATATCATCATGCGGTGTATTTAGGGGTAAAGATCATATTAAAGATCCTGATGTGGCATATTTAGGGGTAAGGATCACATTAAAGATCATCATGAGGTATATTTAGGGCTAAGGATAACATTAAAGATAATTATCTGGTATATTTAGGGCTAAGTATTATATTAAAGATCATGATGTGGCGTATTCAAGGCTAAGGATCACATTAAAGATCATGTGGCATATTTAGGACAAAGTGCTTAGTGCAGTGACACGAAAGATAACTGTCAAGTAATGTTAGTAAAGCTAAGTTATGTCTATAGAGTAAAGCACGTGACGTGCCTGGTGACGTGCCTGTCACAGCACGTGACGTGCCTGTCACAGCACGTGACGTGCCCATCACAGCACGTGACGTGCCTGTCACAGCACGTGACGTGTATAAGCGTGAGAGTAAGAGAGAGAACGGTATCGTTAGAGCGAGAGGGGTGGAATTAGCGTTAGACTGAGAGAGGTGATGGAGGCGTTAGCATGATAATGTTGATTTGATCGAAACGTATTTCTGCGTAACTAATATACATTTGAACTCTTCTAAGAGTTCAAAAGTTCGAACCAAAAATATGCATATCTGTCTCATCGATAACAAACGAAAATTAATAAAACATAACATTTAAAAACAATAGTCGAGAGTTTACGCATTTCATCTTATAACGAGGCTAGAGAATAGAGAGACGTGATGGTACAACGAAGATGGTAATGCCAGCATCGAGAAGATTCCCTAGAGTTAATGCCCATCCTTGAAGGATGATAAGACGACCGTTTGAGAGCTACAGCACCTTGGCTGCCGCACTAGAGAGGCGGAGAACTAGAGGCACCTATGTATATTATTTATTTCAATAGTTTAGGTTATTTTCTCTATCGGGAGAACACGCTTCTCGCCTAGCCTGAATACCCTTCAGTCCATCATAACACTTAAATCCGGGACCCAAGACATGAATAAGGGCAGGTCAACCGTGTAGTTGAGGTTATGAGCACCAATATTGGAGCAGTGACTTGCGGGCTCGATCCCAGCTAGTTGTAAAGTTCTGGTCAATATCGGCAGAGAGGTTGTTGTTTGAATACGGTGAGAGAGGAGCAGGGAAGTGCGAATTCATATCCGCAAGAAGCTGTACTAAATTATGAGATCACTTGAGTCGGCCACAGGCTTGGTATAGCCTTATCAACGCTGATCTCACACTTCAACTGTTACCTGGGGCCGTACAATCAAAAATAGTTTGACATCACTTAACCAATCATTGATGGCTTTTAGAGCTAAAGATCAACCGCTAAGTGAGTGTTGAATGCACTGCCCACACGACACGAGTCAGAGAGCATTAATCGCATCGGGTATTACTTTAGAATCTCAATGGAAGAGAGTCATCTTTATAGCCAGGGACGAAATTAATCATGAAATAGGAAAGTCAATTCAACATTGAATTTATTTTTCTACTTCGGACATGATATTTCAATACCAATGCAACCCATGAACATTTTAGATGTAAAATCAGAACTCAAGCAAATTTGTAACAAACTTGACTTGACTTGACTTGACTGACTTGACTTGACTGACTTGACTTGACTTGACTTGACTTGACTGGGGTCGTGGGGACGTCGGGGCCCCAAATGCTGGTCGCGACCTCAGCGGCCGCACCCCCTGCGAGAACTTGCTTGACACGCGCAGCATGACGCGTGACATGAGAACAACTTGCGTGACACGCGCAGCATGACGCGTGACATGAGAACAACCCGGAGGGAGTTCGATCATTTACGTCGATTTTGTACGTTTTAATTATTCTTTTTGATTTAAGTTTAATAAATTTGCAAAGATACTTAGCATGAGGATTGAGAAGCAAAACAAAATTAGCTCAACTATAATAAAGAAACTTTTACACAGAAATATTCAAAAGAGAAAATTTAAGAACGAAATTTATGCAAAAATATTAGTTGACAATTAAAAATTGGAACAAAATTAGTAATAAATAAGTATGAATGGATAATCCATGTTGCAGCATACATTGCAGCTACTATAAACTGATGCAACTTAAACTGGTAAAACATTTCGGTGCCGCGCAACTGCCCGCAGTGTTTGGCAGAAATAAGTTCCGTGATGAATCTAACACGAACTTGTGATCCCGTCATAATTCGGGATCAAAATTTTGGCAATTGCTCATCAATATACAAGTAAAAGTCGCATGTAACTAAATGTCGGTTCCTAATTTAGTCATAAGTTCATAAGTTGGGATCATAATCTTGGCGATTGCTCACCAATATACAAGTAAAAATCGAACGTAACTAAATGCTCATGATTTATTAAACAGGCTCGCCATTCTCTACTTCACAGGGAATTTAATTGGATGACATCAAGCCAAGTTCCTATGTCTGCTCAGTTGACCATCAACACAAGCAGGCTTGCCTCCAAAGCATCAAGAGTTTCTATTGGTCTAAACTGCACCAAAAACATCACCAATACGAATAAAAAAACTACAGGAGATTCAGAAAATTGGAATAGTTGAAAATTTTTATTAGATTTACGTTTTGCGTTAAGTGGAAACTAATAAAAATATTCTTTCAATCATATTTGTGAGAATTCAACTGATGAATATGACAACTAATTCCTTAATTAAATGAGCAAATAGATGCAAAGTTGACATTCTCGAAATTAAGGAAGCTATGTGACAGAAGACAAATCTAGATTTTATTTCACTTTAATTGCTGATCTCAGAGCGATCGTGGCAGCAGCAAACAAGAAGAAATCAACCCTAAAATTTCATTATCTCTGTGCGGTCAACAGCCCGCAGACAAAGCAGTAGCAGTAGGAAGCTGGTGATGTCTGCCCTGCAGGAGCCAGCTGGTGATGTGCAGACGGTAGCTGGTGAGGTGCAGGAGCCAGCTGGTGGGGTGCAGGAGCCAGCTGGTGAGATGCAGGAGGCAGCTGGTGAGGTGCAGGAGCCAGCTGGTTCAGACAGCAGGAGGCAGCAGGAGCAGACGGCAGAAGGTGCAGGAGGCAGCTAGTCGGCGTCCCTGTCCCGCTTGCTCTTCTTGCGCTTGTGTTTGTGTGAGGGCGACCGGGACCGCGACCGCGTGCGGTGACGGGGACGCGAGGGCGACCGTGACAGGCGGCGGTGACGACGCGACCTGTTATGATGGCACGTGTTAAGAACTGCATGCCTAACCCAAGCCACGTTATTCCGTGTTAAGAACTGCATGCCTAACCCAAACCACGTTAGTCCGTGTTAAGAACTCTGCATGCCTAACCCAAGCCACGTTATTCCGTGTTAAGAACTCTGCATGCCTAACCCAAGCCACGTTATTCCGTGTTAAGAACTGCATGCCTAACCCAAACCACGTTAGTCCGTGTTAAGAACTGCATGCCTAACCCAAGCCACGTTATTCCGTGTTAAGAACTGCATGCCTAACCCAAACCACGTTATTCCGTGTTAAGAACTGCATGCCTAACCCAAGCCACGTTAGTCCGTGTTAAGAACTGCATGCCTAACCCAAGCCACGTTAGTCCGTGTTAAGAACTGCATGCCTAATCCGACCTACAGTTCTAGTGTTTCGTATAGGCATGCAATTGTATATATCATATATACAGGTACTACCTATATTACTTCTATATCAATTTCGTGACTACTTGGTATATATATGATTTAGTATCCCTTACATTATTGCTCATTAATGATTTTTCTGAAATAAATGAAATAAAATTCACAAAACGGAAAAAGTTTTCGTTGGAATTCAGGGAATAATTTCAAACAGTAGAAAAATTAAAGTTCTTCTAACTATGCTTTCATAAAATTCTGGTTTTAAATACAAATTTGTACAGACGGTCGTAATAAATGATAATGAATTTGATTTTATGGCATTGAGATGCACGGTAAGATTTGCACTATAAATTAAATAAAATTATACAAATAAAGACTGTGGTTTATAGCAGTGACCTTTTCCTGTCGTCGTCAGAGTCGTCGCGGTCTCTGTCTGTACGGTACTGCGGCGGAGACTCTCCGTGCCCCACAGAGATGCCCCCGGTCAGAGATGGAGGAGGAGGCACTTCACCGCCCCACCTTGGAGGAGGCGGAGCTACATGTGCTGCTGGAGGTACCATCTGGGGTGGAGGCACCATGGGGGGAGGGGGGTTATTCCAGGACACAGGAGGAGCATTGAAGTTGGGGGGCGGGCCCTGCACTACAGGAGGCCCCGCAGGAGGCCCAGCAGGAGGAGGCGTGCCGTAGTAAGACACTGGAGGGTAATAGCCGTTGTCGGGGCCTTGTTCCCACATGTTCCCGCCAAATCTGAAGAAAAATGTCCTCTTGGTTACGAATATAAGCTCAAATGACTAGCATAATCATGAAGTATCCTTGCTAATAAGTAAGGGACGAATGGATGCCCTTCACTTGACTTTCTATTAATAGTAGAGATAACCAGGATGGTTAAAAACAGTAACTAGTGGCAGTATATCAATAAAGAGACAGTGGGCAGAGTTTTTTAGGGCGATTAGTGTAGCCTACTTATTTCCAGCCACTACGTACATCATTTTATATCTGAGCCAACAAAGAGACATTATTCTGCATTACATTAACAAAAATCTACAAGGATAATAAAGGATTCTCTTGGAGAAGTAGAAACTTAGATCGTAACATAAAAGATATGGTAAGGCAATAAATAGCATTCAGATATTCTACATTACATTAACAAAAATCTACAAGGATAATAAAGGATTCTCTTGGAGAAGTAGACACTTAGAGTGTAACACAGCAGACATGGTAAGGCAATAAATAGAATGCAGACATCACATTAACAAAAATCTACAAGGATAAAAAAGGTTTCTCTTGGAGAAGTAGACACTTAGAGTGTAACACAGCAGATATGGTAAGGCAATATCACGCAGCTAAGGTGTGCTCACTCCATGTCATCATAGGGTCCATGTGGCATGGGAGGCGGTGGTCCAGACATGTAGGAAGGAGGCATGACTTTGTTGGAGTACTCGCGACGGTCTGCTGTCATCACCTGTAATCAATTATAAGAATTTAAACCTGACTCAGCACACGCTGCTTTTCTATCGACGGTTATTTTCAAACGAAACAAGTGAAAAAAATTTTTTTTCTCAATTATCGCCTGGGCAATACAAGAAACAAACTTAACACTCGTAACAGCGACTCGAGTAACAACCAAATTATAAGAATTTAAATCTGACTCAGCAGACATTGTTTTTTCTATCAGCGGTTATTTTAAAATGAAACAAGTAAAAAAAATATTTTTCTCAATTATTTTACACCTTATCAAGGTTGGATTACTAGATTTTATTTTAAAATTCTTGACACACTTGACGGCAGAATTATTGCGGGGAATTTATTATGAAATGTGTCAGTGATGAAATGTCTGGTATGATGAGATATCAGAGAAGCCATGATGATGCAGGAGGCTGTTCACTTGTCACCTGTATGGAGTTGCCCTCACCTGTATGGAGTTGCCCTCACCTGTATGGAGTTGCCCTCACCTGTATGGAGTTGCCCTCAGGTCGTGCCGGGTTGTCCACGCGTTTATTGAAAGGCACGGACGCTCGTGGCGGGCGGCTGGTGGAGTTCCCGTTGTTCTCAGCTCCATTTGACTTGTTCTCTGAATTAGACAAGTACCCAAATGGCTGCAAGTGTGGATAACATCATTAGTGGCATGAACGGCAAAACATACCTAGTTAACCACAATATTCTAAAGTACATTTAAACACAGAATTGCTCTCGGAAAAACTAAGTAATTATAAAAATTTTGCAATTCAGAATATTAACAAACACATTCTACTTAGACTCTTCTATTTTGACTCATAACAAGAGGTGAAAAATTGTCCTTTTCATTGCACAATTGTGAGCAGCAATAATGTTCAGTGTCAATTGAAGACAAATTTCTCACCTTGCCAACATTGATCCCTAAAGAGTTCAGTCCACTGCCACTCTCATGCATCCTCATCCTTTTCTGGCGGTCACAATACTTGAACCAAGATTGTTCATTGAAACCATAATTGAAGTAGTCTGAGAGGTCTGCACCAGGCTTCCTCCAAGGCTTGTCTTCATAGTCAGCCAAATTCAAGTCTGCCACAGCTACACCATTCACTTTGCCAGCAGTAGCAAAGTCATCGTCTTTAAGGCCTGTTGTTGGGGCAGCCTAAGGTGCGCAAAGAAATTTCTATTATGCACAAATTAAAATATAATTCTTACGTAGATTCATAAATATGCTAAGCATATGTTAAATATTACAGGTGCAATAAATGTACACAATCAAGTAAAGAAGTTTATAATAAGCATGAATATGGCACAACTTAGGCTGGAAGCGAGCCTGGCAATTATGTACAAATTAAAATATAATTCTTACATATATTAATAAACATGATAAGCATATGTTAAATATTACTCAGTTCAATAAATATACATAGTATGTAATCAAGTAAAAAAGTTTATTATAAGCATGAGATAGCACACCTTAGGCTGGAAGTGAGCCTGGCTATTATGTACAAATTAAAAAAAAATTCTTACATAGATTAATAAATATGATAAGCATATATTAAATATTACCCAGTTCAATAAATATACATAATATATAATCAAGTAAAAAAGTTTATTATAAGCATGAGATAGCACACCTTAGGTTGGAAGCGAGCCTGGTGTTGGCCAGGGGTCATAACTTCAGCCGCCTTCTTGAGTTCACCAATGGTGATGGTGAGATCGTCTTCATCACTACTCTCCCCTGCAGCATCGTCTTCACCTTCTTTTCCCCCTTCACCAATGGTAGCATCTGCTGCTGGGGCATCTCCAGCAGAAGGCAAGGCCTCTTTGTCATTGGGCTCAAGTGACGCTCCTGCATCTGCATCAGGTTTTTCTTGATCTTGAGTTTGCTCTGAATTATCAGCTGGTGCATCTTTACCGTCTGCTAAAATACGAGGAATAACAATCAATAACTGGCCTATAAAAATTGTTTACAATGACAGTAACATTTTATTGAACAAATATTAAATTGAAAAATTTGAAAGCATGCCAAAAATGAAGCCAATAGAATAAAAAATAAAGCACTAAGCAATAAAATCTTTAAAAAAATGCAATTACAAAATATAATTGTAAGGATTTGTGGTAAGATATCAGAATTTTCTGCTCAATAGCAATAATGAACTAACCTGAATCACTCCCCTCAGGTACATTGTCCTCCTGTAAAAAAAAAAAGTAGAAAAAAGGTATTAATACAATATTAATTAGCATTCAATACAAACATATAAGTCATTTTTCAGAATATTTAAAATGAAAATTTGAGTGTTGAAGATTGCCAAAACAAACCCACAATTATGAAGAAGAATGTATTAGGGATTTTTCGAGACAAGACCAAGTCCTTTGAATACAGTGAGGAAGCATGGCATGTATGGCTGTTGCCAACACAGTTGCATTTATCCTAACTCCCCAGGATGCTCTTGTAAAATTTTCTCTTTGTCATAACCTTCAAAAATCCTGTACTCAAAATTTTAGATGCATTGTGGTTTGTAGATGCATTATTAAAGAATTTAGAATTTTGCGCAACATACAATTTGATACATGAATATTGAAAATGAGGAATGAAGAACTTATAACAAATGTTATGCTACAAATTATAATGTAACTGCATTATTATTAATTTAACTTTACAGCAATTTTCTCTACAAACAGATAACATGGATGAGAATTATAAAAATGCACATTGTCCCACAATCTAAATGAAAAGAATTTTAGTTAACCATGTTGCTATTAAAATAACTTGCCAGTTATGATCGGGTAACTGGTAAAATGTGCCAGTATTATCATTTTAATTGAAAACTGAAATAGGACACAAATATTGCCAAAAGCTTATGATATTGTACAAGGGGTTGTTGACGGAGCACATACATGTTGCAGCCATTGAGTGGAGCTGCAGCCATATTAGACATGTTCAGAATGTATCTTAGTTTGGCCCAGTGGTAACACACAGAGAAAGTGCAGCTCACACTTGAATGCAGGCTGTGGTAACTGGGATGCTGATTTTGTGAAACCTTGCCTTTTGGTACCAAAGCTGATAAGTCAGGAGAGATATTGCAATGAAATGTTTTTTGCTTGTGTGGGATTTTGTAAATATTCATTTGCTTTTGTGTAAAATTTTCATAGCTTTTTACCAATGCATATTTGAAGTTTGAATAAGAGTTGTATATATCCCGCGATCACCTTACAAAAATTAACCGTGGATTTTTGGCGGCCACTCTTTGCTTTATGGTCGGCCGTCTCAGTCCCAGCTTGGTATATTGTAATTTTTTGATCATGCCAGTAAAAAATCACCAACATTTTAGTGAATTTATGATAATGTTGATAACTTAATTAGGAAGTAAATTCAAACCTTAGATGTTGCTTGTTGAGAAGCGGCTTCTTTCTCTGCATTATCTTCTCCGTACAACCAGTGGTCATCGTCCTGCACTTCTGTCATTCTTAAACAAAGAGTAGCTTAACATGAATCAATTTTCAATCTGTAATAGATTTTGAGCCAAAAAAACACCTGGAAGAAAAATTTACATAAATAATATTTTATATGACTTTAAAATTTGTACCCAAATGTGGGTTAATCAAAATGCAGGCTATAAGAAGTAATTTGATTTATTAATTCAAATGTGACAACATTAATTTCAAGTTACAGGAAGCATATAATGCAGAAATTTTGGTGGAAATAAGTACATGATACACTTGAATATCACAAAAATTTGAACTGACTGTGAAAACAATATACAATATTGTTTTGCCATCAATATGATGGCAGAATTTTTTTATCGATATGCAAATGAATAATGATCAAAGATAAAGATAATTGAAATGTGTATAAATAATGACCTATTGTAATATAATGACCCATTATAAAAAAGCAGATCTCAACAAGTAGTACTTGTAATATATTTAACAACATTTTGAATGTATCAACATTTATTTTCAAGTTACAAGAAGCATTGAACAATGAAATTATGGTGGATACAAGTACATAATAAATGTAAATAGGACACCGCAAGGAAATTTTGAAATGGAAAATGACTCTCAAAACTATCTCAATGATCAGAAGTTTTTGGCAGTTTGCAAACAGATGCTTTATCTCAACGATCAGAAGTTTTTCGCAGTTTGCAAACAGATGCTAGAGTCCTATCCCCATAGATGAGGGTTCCAGCAATCGTTGGTTGGTTAATACTGTGCACCTCTGCATGATGACAATGCTGGTGGGTTCCTCCAGCACAGTGTGAGCAACAGTCTTGCAAGCTTGTCTTTATTGTTATTTGTTTTTTATTGTTATTTATTAAGTTACTGAACATCTAATGAAACCTACTGCTTTAACCTCCTACTGCTTTTTAAACCTCCCTACCAACTAACGACTGGCTAAACTTATCGACTAACAACAGGCATGTGGATGTAATGGCATGCTGAAATAATATTACAATGACTATTGTGCCTGGAATGTGCCACACTGTGAGGCCTGGCATACCAGCATTATCATACATCACGCATGGAATATATCTACAGGGTTTGTACCAGTATTTAGATAAAAAATTCCGTGACTTTTCCATGACCATCAATATCATTTTTCAAGACTTGTATGCGACAGGTTTAGCATGACAGAAAGACTAACTGTGCATATTCTATAATCTCCTGCAGTTGATAAATAGCAAGCATGTGAATGCATGTAGCTCTTTATGGATCTTCAAAAGCGGCATGACTCTTCAAAGCTACTTCCTTCATATTTGACACATCGAAGTCCAGGGCTGGAAAAGTCCTATTTTTGTCTGAAATATCACGGCTCTAATATTATATATTTTCAGTAGGTATGAAATCTCGCGGCTCAAATGTCATAAATTTTTGTTTGATTGAAAAATCGCGGTTGGCACTTCGCAAACATGTCACTTCATAAAATTTTCAACTTCCGCAATCCATATTGCTTTACCGTTCCCGCCAAAATATCCTGCAGAAAAAAACATAAACATCGTAATGTAAACAAATCAACTAAACGTTTTGTTTAAGATTGTGCATAGTTGCGGTCATGTCAAAGCGGTCAGACTGCAGTAACACATGCTCAACTTACAGTAAAGACAAATTTTATCTTTGCCATATAACTATTTTAGGGTAAAATTAGAGATTTGGGGTAACACGTGCATGGACTTTGTAAATAAATTTGCGCCTCATAAATGGCTTTTCATGGCCAAGATATGGAATTCACGGCTCGGTGAAATGGAATCACGGCAGACAAATCCATAAAACCACGGCTCGAAAAATTCAGTCGCGGCTCGCCAAGTAGATATATTCCATACCTGTCGAAGTCTTTTGAGCACTATGTACATATTGCCATACCTTCATGCTTTGAATGGCAAGCAAGACAGTCATGATAGGGTAAACGCGGTACATTCCGACACATTAAGGACGCATCGAGAAATGAAAAACTATAAAAAAAACGTATGCGTTACGTAAGTTCTGTTGCCTTCACGTGACTCTCAAAACACTTCACTACGCATCAGCAACGATGAAACGTCACAAAATGTTGCCATATTTATTAAAAAGCCTTTAGAATGGAAACCTACCAAATCCCTATATTCCGTCACTGTGTGTGGCAATATTCGACATGTGGCGAGTCGTATTGGGTCAGCGCTTCAAATTTAACTGATACGTAATGCCGACATCCACGTGTTTGAATTTCGTTCGCTGTGTGAGCTGTATTGGGATACAACACGGCTTTGAATTAGAACACTAACGAATATTGAACACTACTTAATTACGTTTTAATTAACAGCTATTAGGCTTTTAATTAAGCAAATTTCAATTTTTGTACAAAGCTTGGAACAATCTGTGTGTGTCCAATTCAAGTTGTGTCTGAATTAGTTTTCATGTGTCTAAATCCATTTCTCAATTTAATCATCTATTGATTTATTTACGACTTGAAATCAGCGAATACAAGTATACTTAAAGGATTCCTAATATATTCACAGTCTCACAGACGTATTTAAAAGTCTCAAACCATAATATTCTTCCTATAAAAACAGTTATTCACTATTTGGTAGAGCAAGGTCAACTGTCAAATTTGACACATTTTTCGATGATCTCACCAGGTGGCATGCATTGTCTCTCTTTGGATCTCAATATTTTCCCACTAGATGGCCAAGACCTAGTGTTTTGGCAGTATTTTGACGCATAAATGTATGACCTCACCATATCAACCATCAATAAACGCATGGAACTAAAACAAAGCTTAATATAAAGGAAAAGCTGGAGAGGTGACGGAATTACCCACGATGCCGGAATATACCGCGTTTACCCTAAGTTTATATTCTTAACCACAAGTAATGAAATTTACACATTCCAGGTACAATGATGATGTAGACAGTAGAAATAGCATGCTGAAGATGGAACACTGCCACTGAAGATCAAAAAGTTGTCGAAGGCAACTAAGCTTGGTGACCAAGCTCACATGATTGGTTCTCCAATCAGAATGCGTGTCACTTGGTCAGGTGACCAAGCTCATGTGATTGGTTCTCCAATTTACCAATTAGAATGCATGTCAATCAGAAACAGTAAACACATGCAGCACAGAAAAACACTTCATTTTTTTTTATTTTTTTATTTTCAAATTTCATGTCTATCCATAACCTGAAATGAAATCCAACAACTTTCCAGGCCTTGAAAATAAAAAATCAAATTCCATGACTTTCCAGGTTTTCCATGAACAATACAAACCCTGTACCTACTTGTACTTGGCAAGCAATGACAGGATTTTTCGAGCCTTGATTTTATGGGTTTGCCAGCCATGATTCCATTTCTTCAAGCCATGAATTCCATATCTCTGCCATGAAAAGCAATTTACGTTTTACAAGCCACAAATTTATTTACAAAGTTGCGTGCATGTTTGCGTGCAGATATTTAGGGTGAAATTTACCCCAAATATCTAATTTTACTCTAAATACAATCTGATCGTACAGCAACTCTCTAAATACAATCTGATCGTCTTCACTTAAGTGTCAACTCACTCAACTGAAGTTACTGAACATGTGACAATGCAGTCTGGCCACTCTGACGTGAATGCAAGTATGCAAATGCAACTAAGCAATTTTCACGGAAAAATGTTGGGTTGACCTGTCATCATTATGTTCTGCAGTACCTTATATTTTGGCAGGATAATTGAAGTAATTTATATAAACTAAACAAACAGAATAGCCTATTAGAAAATCATGTATAAAATGATGTTCTTTAACTCCTTTTCACTATCTAAATAAGCAAACATTCTGAGAATGGAATTGCACAAGGAGAAGACATAAGTCACACAACACAACTATGCGAAGAATTGCCTCCTCCAGGTCCAGTCGTCCAGGCTCCCAGTCCCAAGGGCCAAGGCTGCTCCCCAAGTGGCCACCGCCAGTCCGCCATCCCAAACTTCCGAAGCAGAGCCTGTAACAAAATAATTTAATGCGATCCCAGGGGAGCGCACCCGTGCATCACCAAATAAGTGCACCAATCAGCCCTGAATAGAACGCCCAGCATATTTCCGTAACGACCGCGCGTAAGGCCACCTATCATCCGTGCATTCTCCGACAGGCCTCCTCTATCGGTCTATCCCACTCCCAGAATTCTCTACAGTCTACCGCACTCAATAGTGAGTCAGTGACCATTCAGAGTCAGTTTGTATACCATAGCAAACCTCCCTGCAACCCATTCCATACAAGGTCCAGGTGCCAACGGAGAGGAATGTGCACCAAAGGTGAATACAGTGAGTTCCGAACTAAAAATCGTTCCAAAAATATTGGATGAGTAAAAACGCAGCATCCATCGCACTACATGAGAAATGTGCAAAAATTCTGACGCCACGTAAAGGAAAATACAAAAAATACCATTAGGTCTAGATCGGTTTCAGTTGACGAAGTTGTAATAAAGGGAGCGCAGTCGTGCACCACCATTTTGTGCTCCAATAAGCCCTGAATCGAACGGCTTGGATCTCTCCGGACATCGACCAATCAGCGGTGAACCACTCGGTTTTGTCCTCCTCCGGCCTTGTATAAAACCTGCCGTGCACCACCAGGCGTCGGATCGAATATGACTTCCGGGCATCGTTAAATTACGTAATTTTACGTTCACCGCATCTGACGTTAGGCTTCAGATAGCATAGTTCTGTTCCAAAATTTATCGTCCTTCGACGAGTGGCCGTTCAACCGAGGGCTGGTTCGACGGGGTCGCCTGCAAAAGACCACAACTGCCCTGGATGTAATGGACGTTCATGATTCCTGCCTTCCGGAACGTAGCCTTCAACACTTCAAGCCATCCGTATCTAGGCCGTGGGTCGAACCAGCCCTCGGTCGAACGGCCACTTGTCGAAGGACGATAAATTTTGGAACAGAACTATGC